AATCTTTTTAACAGCTGATAAATGATTGATAAAGGATGAACCATGATAGTCAATAAACAATATGAAAATGAAAAGAAATAAATTTATAAATATTAAAGAAATAATGTAAACATCATTATCACTTGTTTTCAGTGTTATTATATAGACTATTATATTAGCTAAGCTTTCTAGACTGAACAGAATTTTGCTATAGACTTGGGCGCCTGACTAATGGCTTAAGTCACAGACTCCCTATTTAGATATGGTAGTGATAGAATGTGACAGAGATAGTCATGCTGGATGATCACAGTGAAAAATATCTGTGGGACGTTTTGGATGACAATCAGTGAAAAAATCCAGTCTGAAATGTTGTCTCTATCATGCTTTATTACAAGATGAATCCTTAGGTATTTTGAATAGCAATCAGCCAGCGTTGAACATAGTTTCACCTAGCCTAGGAGTCAGCATGACTCATGAGAGTCATCATGACCAGATGACTGAGAGAGTCCTGCATGACAGTGGTAGAAACTAGCATGTTTTCTCCACTAATCCTTATAATGATAACATGTAGCAAAACACTTAAAAATGGCAAATTTCAACTAGTCCTTATGATACCTAACCATTGGTCAGTTTGATAAGGACTACACAGGTGTACAGGAATCGTGCCAATTTCTAATGCTGCATGAGTTGGACATTTAGTCTACAGCAGGGATCCCGGAAATATTTTTTGCATTTTAGTCATGCCCACCTCTTGTCTGAGGTGCTGGATGTATGAACAAAAAGAATAAACTCAAGTGTCACTTTCATAACATACCGTATTCGACGTAATAAGCGTCCCGCTCTAATAAGTGCCCACGGCGATATTTGCTAATATATTGGCCAGTGAACAATCCCAATCAGCACCCCTTCCGATTGATAAATGTACACAAGCTTTATTTATTCGTGTATAACACGCACTCGTGTGTTATATCACCCTTAATTATGGGCAATTAAATTCTTGAAAAATATATCTGTCGTATGTAAACATTTCAGGCTGTTAGCATAAACCACAAAATTTACGACCTTTCAACTCAAAATAATATTCTAATAAGCGCCCCCTATTTCTAATTTTGAGAGCGCCCTGGGCGCATATTACGTTGAATACGGTATATATTGCACCCTTCAATACCTCGGTTATGGCGCACGGTTACAATTGGCTCCCAAAATTTACTTACATTTTTAATAAACTCAAGATTTACACTGACACACGGTTTTCCCCATCTCAAAAAAACATTATCAGCTGGAAATACCAGTCAACACATCGGAACAGAAATTCGCAATCCCATTATTACACTATCTGGTTATAAAATCGTGTTCATTGTATATCTTGACTTATGTTTGTAATGTATTTTATCAATTTTATTCAAAATTTCATTCCATATTGTTTACATTAAGTGATCGGTAGATCGCACAACTCACCGTTATTGATGGCAACCATGGTCAGATTACTGCTTTTGACGCCTCGAAACGAACTTTAGTTGCCAGAGAATGCATACATATTTCATAAATGCAATACTTGGACTGATATAATAATGTGACTATTATATGTCAACATTCCGTTTTCGCAATCCAAATACATGTAGTGCGGAAAGTCCATACGGTGATTGGTCAAATTGGTCCATACGTAAAAATATCCTGCAATAGCAATCGACTGTACCAAAGTGTTACGCTTATTATTCTTATAATTATAAATGTATATAGTAAAAGATGCAACTTAAATAACACGATTTTGGAATATATTATTCCTGATAAAATAATCATTTCAGAGACAGTTTGTTCTGACAATTGCATCAAAATTTCAAAAATGACTGCCTTCAAACATATCTTGTGGCAACTTAATCATGTTAATTCTATTGCTACACATGTGTAGACACAAAAACAAACATGTCTGCTACTAATCATGCTAATTGTACTCACAAATAATTCCTCCTAAAGTCAACAATGAACCGAAATACATAAATATTAATGTAATTAGTATTTTATTTTAGTTGATACTTGATAGTTTATTGGATAAGCAAAGATATACCCATATTATCTAGTAACATAAATTGCATCATCATGATCATTGTTCGAGTCACAAATAACAAAACATAACATAACAGTACAGTACAGTTTCTACTAATACAATTCCAAGACTAATGCTATGACTTGTACATTTAATAGTTATTTGATAAAAGATAATTTCAAATGCTTTTGGCGACCTACAATATTGGCTTGACTTCTTGATTTTACCACTGGCTACCTGGAAAAAAATACTTGTAGCCATATGGCTACTTGGTAAAAACTTAAACTCAGAGGCCTGTTGGGTACTCTTTGGCTAAATCACCAGTAGATTGTTGCGAGAACGTGTGCACAGCTGATTGCTATTTCCGGCTTAGTTTACGAGAAAATACACATGGTAATCTAAACCTCTGCATATAAAACAATGCCTTGGAGAGCAGGAAATACAATTTTAATTGTAAATCATCATGTCTAGCGAGGTTTTATATCAAATTTCATATTTTTTCGACCAAGTTTGTTATACCTTTTTATTCACCTGAATTGGTTGAAAGGATAGATCTATGATGTGTTCTATAGCCTACAACACTTGATAGATACATAGATCTAGTATAAACAGTTTCAACCTATCGGGATGTATGTCAGTGTGCCTGTGGTGACTGATGTTGACCGAATTTTAAAATGTCCGGTTTGCACTATTTCAAATCGGACATTTTGCAGTCACAATCGGACAAGTCCGGCGCACAGACCGATTTCTGGATCCCTGGTCTTACAGGATGTTGATAGTAAAATAACATCACAAACATTCCATTGTTTAAAACACTTCAGGCTAATATTAGTAATAGTATTAACAGTTTCTGTGTGTGTGGGAAATTGTACTGGCTGATAAAAAAATTGCTGAGCCAGATATCACTCAACAGAAATAAGATAAGTATTTTCAATGAAAAGCAGGATTCCTGAACTATCTGAAACCCTAATGTCTGCGATCCCCAATGGAAGTCAAAGACAACAGATTCACAAACCAGAACTCTGGTAATGCTGTCTGTAACCATGGTAACACTCACTACAGTATCATTAATCAATGTATCGATATATGATGCTATTTTTTCAGTTTTTTGCCTCTGAGGGACAAGTGGGCATTTCCGTGTCTATCATGTTTATGGGTGTACACAACTATATCAAGCATTTTCATTGCATTGTATTGATCTTTCACATCGATCTAATCAAACACAGAAAAAAATGCCGCAAGACTTTGTGGTTGTTTATGCTTAAAACATGTGATGGGACTCCTGACAGTATTCCAGTATGGTGGTCCTTATCATCAGTAGATTTTTTGGGATAAACATTGGATGAAAATAAATTGTAAAAAAATGGAAACTTGTTAAAAATATATATAAAGCACTCATGTTATGCCAAAAGTATGTATTTATGATTTGTCTACTAGTGAAGAAAGTACTGCTATGTATGACATTTTGGCCCTAGTTATCTCTTAATATATCCTGACCACAACGCGGGAAAATGTGCGGGCTACGTAACTTCCGTTTCCTTATTAGTCGCCATGAATATGTAGATGGGCTAGTTCAGGTCGAGAGAGAAAGTTTATTTGGGAAACTGCCGGTCATATCGCTTTCCATTGACAGATGGGGGTAAGGCAATAATAAAAAAATAAAAAGATACCAGAAGTAAGTATCAATGCGATAATGACCCCTAACTTGCAGCAGACGGAACATTCCGAGGAAATTGAAATTGTTTACGGAGCGAGCACTTCCTGGTTACTGATTGTCATTAACAGACACCCGCTAAAAGGCGTGTCCCGCGTGAGCGACCGGAAATCACAAATGCCGCGATACGATGAATGCCGCGGTACCACGAGGTCAGAGTATACACGGAATATGCCAGAAATAACATGAAAAAATGGCAATAACTGGTCACTAGCTTCGACGTGTACACTTTCAAGTGTATCCAGTCCAGAATGACATGTTGACATGTTTTAACTGTTCGAAAATAGGGTATGTGAAAATAGGAAGGCGGATGCCCCGATGCACACGCGACCCGCCAGTCACGACCTTGGGTGGATTGTTGTGGTCCCTCTCGGCAGTGGATGAATTAACATAGCGCTTTAATTACTTTCGCGGAGGTCGCGGGTGACAGCACAGCCACGGTGATTGAATTAATTAGTATCAAGCGCTTCACTGAGTACTGCGGACCGCACCCGTCTTGCGTACAGGAGACGGCAGAGCCGTCACGCGTACACGTTACGTCTGCGACTGATCATGACATTATGATCATATCCTAATGTTTTTCATGGAAGGTTTGTTGGCTCCCTAGTCCAGGGTTCACTTCATTAATTTTCTGACACAGGCCCTTTATGTGAAAGTTTCATATATTCCAGAGGTTCACCCTCACTTGCCCATAGAGCAGAATGTTAAAATGCCCCATTGTATTTAAAAATGTGGGCCTCTTTCAAATTTAGTGGCTAAAAGCACAAGGCCCCGACCTTGAATTATCTCTGCTGGTCTGAAAGCTTTTGAGTCTACTAGCCCAAACTTGGCTCTTCACATCGTTTGATTGTTATCAGTGGTACATTATTAGCTAAGCCTAGTAAACTATTCTGAATGTTACTAGACTCAGGCTTTGGACTTGTGGCAAAAGTCACAAACTTGGCCCCCACTTTAAAACACTGAACAAGTAGATGTACAGACACATATGGAGAAATGCAGTTGTATGTGTTTGGTACTAGCAGTTTCGGAACCCACCAGTTTCCACAGGTTCAAGTTGACCTTGTGACCCAATACCTGCGAAAATGATGGGCAGGGTTTCAGAAATTTAGAACCAAAGGATCCAATTTGCTTTGAAATAGAGGGATATTTGTTGTTGTCGTTGCCAACCCAATGTCATGGGCCCAGAAGCACTCTGGAAATACTACTAACACTACTGATTTTATTCTGGAAAATGATCATAAATGTTATTGACCTATTTTTCAGAGATAACATGCCAAGCCACTTCAAAGTGAAGGAGTACTGCCCGATTGTGTTCAAGAACTTGAGAGAGCGGTTTGGAATTGATGACTTTGAGTATATGGTGAGTCCTCATGTATATTATTAATGTTTTGGTTCTGCATACTCATCCAATATTAATTATTGTGCTGACCCCACCTCTTTAATGACATTTTGTTGCATATGTTTCTTACAGCTTTATCTGATCTAATAAAGTGCATCAGAGTGTCTTGGACTAACCTTTGTATATGGATTTGCCTTGTTTGGTTTGGGGGAAAAGTGGAACATTTTGAAAAAAAAGTTTGACAAATTTTTGTGATCTATGAGGTTATAATTATCAGACAAGAAATCAACAGGGATATGTCAGTGTGCTGATGGGATGGTGTCTATGTACAATTTATTGCTGTCCATTGTGGACTCCTAACCAGATGGGGAATCCTGGTTAGAACAGGTCCCCAGCACCCTTGCTGTCTGAGGAAACCGTAAGAACTGGTCCCCAGCACCCTTGCTGTCTGAGGAAACTGTAAGAACTGGTCCCCAGCACCCCTTGCTTGTCTGTGCGGAAACTGTTAGAACTGGTCCCCAGCACCCTTGCTGTCTGAGGAAACCGTAAGAACTGGTCCCCAGCACCCTTGCTGTCTGAGGAAACTGTAAGAACTGGTCCCCAGCACCCCTTGCTTGTCTGTGAGTTAACTGTTAGAACTGGTCCCCAGCATCCTTGCTTGTCTGTGAGTTAACTGTTAGAACTGGTCCCCAGCATCCTTGCTTGTCTGTGAGTAAACTGTAAGAACAGGTCTCCAGCACCCCATACTTGTCAGTGGGGAATCCGGGTTAGAACAGGTCTCCAGCACCCCATACTTGTCTGTGGGGAATCCGGGTTAGAACAGGTCTTCAGCACCCCATACTTGTCTGTGGGGAATCCGGGTTAGGACAGGTCCCCAGCAACCCATACTTGTCTGTGGGGAATCCGGGTTAGGACAGGTCCCCAGCACCCCATACTTGTCTGTGGGGAATCCGGGTAAGGACAGGTCTCCAGCACCCCATACTTGTCTGTGGGGAATCCGGGTTAGGACAGGTCTCCAGCACCCCATACTTGTCTGTGGGGAATCCAGGTTAGGACAGGTCTCCAGCACCCAATGCTTCTAATAACTATTTCAATCAGGTGGTTACAATGTGCAACCTTTCAAGGTATATATATCATTGCACCTGATGGCATGGATCTTTGTTCATGATATCAGCCACTTGTTTGCCTAGCCTGTATGTATTCATATTACCCACTCATCCACACAAACCACTATATCTGATATTTCTTAAGGCTATGCCATATTGCAATGGCAATGCTAAGAATCATTCTCTTTGCCTATGCTTATATGTTTTCAACTGGGTTTTTATGAATGTATTTAGTAACATAATTTATGCTAGTTTTCCTTTTGTTAAACCTTTGTCAAGAGTGTGTTTAGTACAACATGATGTTTGCAATCCAGGTAGGTAATTGAGTAGCTTGTTGTGGTTCTTTGCTCCTGTTCAGAAGATCACAACCAAAAAAAACAATGTATAAAGTTTAACTGCATGTATGTTGCTTAGAAAGTCAGTCTCTTATCATGTTTATAGATCTGCCCTGGGCCTTGTCCCAGATAGCGACCTTAGACTTACGACTATCATAAGTTGGTTACAGTACGAGTGTTACGATGATCTTAGTGCTTTGTGGCATGGGGCCTTGTTGTGAAGCTGGAGAACTGTTGAGAGTGTGTGTTTCACTATTTTGACCAGACTTCATGAGGAAATGTGGTAGTTCAGTTTATGTCTGCTACATTGACCTTTGATTTGTGTTGCCAGGGTAGACTTCGTCTGAGCAGTGATTGCATGAGGAATGTTGGCTTTGGCTCAGGTGGAAAGTGAAGCTAGGTGCACCGTCAACACTTGTCAGTCCCGATATTACTTTTTAAGGCTTGATGATTACAAGAAACGTTGATGACACTTACATTATAGACTTATGGATTTTTACTGACATTTGACCACCAGAGTGCCAAAATTGTATAGAAATTCGGAATTTAGGCTAAATGTCATGAACATTATCTTGAAGATGTTATGTTTCTGATGCCACCCCCTAACAAAGCACAAGTATGAGTGAGATGGGAGATTGCATATACAGGAGCTGGTGTCGAGTTCCTGATATACAGGTGAGAGGTGGTGAAGATTGCCGGGAGCAGGTGGGCAGGGGCAACACACCTGCAAGCCTTTTCACCTTCACTGCCTCAGACTTTCTGCTTCATCATTAGGATGCTTCCTGCTGCTGATTGAAAACATGAAATAGACACTTGCCAAAGAGTTTTGTGAGAAAAATAAATTAGCTGAAAAGGAGGTAATTCTTATGGATTATAACCCAGCTGGGCACTGCAATGAAAAGTACAAGGAAGTGAGAATTTATTGGTGCTAAATTCTGTTGCCAGTTCCTGCCAAATTCATGTTAAATTCTGCATTTATTTTGTCTTTATTAGACTGTCAACATAGAATATTCTATGGGAGATGTCAATTATACAGCAGGCAGTACTGAACATTCTAAGACAGAAAAACCTGATTGAAAAATGGCAGAACTTATTTTAGAGAAGTCGAAAGTTGGTTTTGTCAAAATCCAATCATGGAATCAAACAATAGCAGCTGCCATTTTGAAGATTTTGTTGTCTCTCTGCTTGTAAGTTGGTTTGCTACAGTCTCAGATAGAACACAACACGTGATGGGGACAGGTGGCCCAGTTATCCAAAGTGGCACAATATAGTTAGCAGAGTTAGGCATGTTAGAAACCTATGATCATGGGTTTAAATCTTGGTTTGCCATGATTGTGCTTCTGGGTTTGTCAGCACCATACCCTTGCCCTTGGTTCTCTCTCACTCACTCACTCACTCACTCACTCACTCACTCACTCACTCACTCACTCACACTCTCACTCACTCACTCACTCACTCACTCACTCACTCACTCACTCACTCACTCACTCACTCACTCACTCTCACAGAGACCTTGAAACAATAATAGCTCCCAAGCAAGTCAACCATTCTTTGGCAAGTTGATTTGGGCTCCATAATATCATATATTAAAAGAATTACCCCCGACTTGAAGAGACTAATGTTGTTTGTCTACAAATGTAGCTGCAAAGAGGATGTGACTAACAGCAATATTCACTCACTCATAATTAGTAATTATGTAATGTCTATACCTGGAAAGGTACAGAAATGTTTCTTTCCCTAAGCATAACATTTAATGTTGTTTTTTAAAGTTCTTGGGAGAATGTTAAGAGGTCAGTTTTTATAATTCTTTTCCTACTTTCATAGATTTTGTTCAAATTCATGTTGACATTTCATGAAGATACATGACTGAGTTTGATACCTATGCTGAATCTTAAAGTCAGGTCCCATGACAAGACACGGCAGTTGAGCACAAACAGATCAGCATCATGCTAGCCTCTCATCTCTATGTCTGCAGCTTGCGACTTCAGCTACTTGTCTGAAGCCCAAGTCTATCAGATTTCTTCTGGTCCAATAATCTCAGCCAGGAATAACCCTCAACTGCTGAAATTATGCTGAAAGACAGACTCAGGGTAGAAGTGTTTGTCCTACACTGTGTCTGTAGTTCTGATTTTGTTTGACAGAATTCGCTGACCAAACAGCCCCACTACATTGACTCCCCGGGTAGAAGCGGTGCTCGCATGTTGATGTCCCAGGACAAGAAGTTCTTCATCAAAACACTGGTCAGTGAAGAGGTGGAGCAGATGCACCATGTACTTAAACAGTATCACCAGGTGAGTGCACAATACAACATGTTTGTTTGTTTGTTGTTAACACCACACTCAGCAATATTCCAGCTATATGATGGCTGTCTGTTTATAATCAAGTCTGGACCAGACAATCCAGTGATTGATATCCTGAGTATTTGGGACAGTGACATGCATCAACCAAGTCAGCGAGCCTGACCACCCGATCCAGTTAGTTGCCTCTTACGACTAGCATAGTCGCCTCTTACAACAAGCATGGGCTGCTGAAGACCTATTCTACCCCGCATCTTCATGGGTCAATATGACATGTAGCAAGGACAGATTGTAACATGTTTTCGAACTAACTCAAGTCTGATACAGTCAAATCTCATTAATCTGACACTCGTTAATCCGACAAACGGCTTTATCCGACACAAATGATGGGAACTGATTAAATCAGTACTATTTAGACCCGTCAATCCGACAGTCTCACACACCGACTCCGACTCTGACACACCTAATTTGTAACGAATTGCTGAAATCACTCATTAATCAGTCTCGTTAATCCGACACAGTGATCAGTGTACTCTGTGGTCATCTGCCCGTGAGTACACAGCCCCGTGTTTTGATGCGAGAAATAAACCACTGAGGACATCCCATTACAGGTCACGTCAGAATGTCCTTTCGTGGACTTTGACCGACCAATGAAATTACTAACAGGAAGTCGACATTAGCCACTGAGAAAGCAGCTTTCTTAAGCATTGCGACACTAGTTTCAAATTGGCGACTTCCATTCCAGACTATGCTTTAAAAAACATTTTGAATCAGCCATACAGTCCGTAACAGTAGTATTGTGTAAAACCTTAGAGCTTGCATGATTAGAAAACATTCTGCTAATAATATGTAACACAGCAATATGAATATTTCCTTTTTCCCTTTTTTTATTACATGATGTTTGAATCATTATCTGTCGTGTAGTTGTCCAATTTTCGATCACGAACATTGATACTACCTAATTCCTTTATCCGACATTCGTTCATCCGACATAATCATATGCAACCAACAGTGTCGGATTAACAGGACTAGACTGTATTTCAAGACTAGTAAAATTCAGAAAGGTCAATGACATTTCCATGTCGACTACCACTTTGAGGTAAACATGTAAATGTCAACTCTGTGACAGATAATTTTGTGGACCAGTGTGAATAGAAAATAGTTTCAGTAAAATATCAATTGTTAACATTAATACTGCTCTACACTGTTGACAGTGTTAATGTCTGTCAGAAGATGAATGTTACTGACAGTTTCACTTAACCCTCCTTCGTGTCCCAAATCTATGTTGAGACATGTAGGAAATCAATTGAGATCCTATTCATGACTATGGTCAGACAATCTACTAAACCTGGGTATTGGTCATAGCTTTGACATCATGTTGAATAATGCAGGGAAATCTAAACTGGCAAGATAAGTTTTCTTCCTGCTGTTGCAATAATATTCAGTACTCAAAATTATGCAGGTGCTAGGTCCTTGAGGTTTGCCCCTATAGTAATTGCATTGGCACCCTGTTACTAATTATTATTATGTTGTTGTTATTATTCCTGTAACTTGAACTGGCTGCCACTGTAGTCTTGTGGATAAAGAACATTTGCCATGAGAACAGAAGGTCGGTGGTTTGGTCACACTGAAAAATGTTAGAAGATGTTACTTGTTACTTGTCAGCAGTAACGGGCTTAAACAAGGACTGGTCGACTCGAAGTCAGTGTACTGCGTCTGAGTGAGGTATCCATGTTAACGTGCAGCATGGTATCTCAGTGGGCTAGCACTATAAAACTGGCAATAGTCCAGACTTGTACAATTTGTTTGTTTGTTGTTTAATGCCGCACTCAGCAATATTCCAGCTGATGGCTGTCTGTAAATAATCGAGTCTGGACCAGACAATCCAGTGGTTGACATCAAGAGCATCGATCCACGCAATTGGGATCAATGACATGCATCAACCAAGTTAGTGAACCTGACCTCCCGATCCCGTTAGTCGCCGGTCTAGTACAAGCAGCCACATACACGCTCATGCACACGCACACGCACACAGACACAGACACACAGACACACAGACACAGACACAGACACACGCACACGTACAAGCACATGGCTATGTAAAGCCGCTATCACCTCAGATCTGATCTTTGTTTCAGTATATTGTGGAGAAGCACGCCCAGACTCTGCTGCCCCAGTACCTGGGTATGTACCGCCTGACCGTGAACGACGTGGAGACCTACATGGTGGTCATGAGGAACATCTTCAGCCCCAGAGTAGGAATACACAAAAAGTATGACTTGAAGGTCAGTACACACATATTGATCCTCCAGGTCGATACAGCTTGTTATCTCCTGTCAGGAATGCTTATTACATTGTATATGAAATTTGAGCTTTTAGAAGCACTGTATATATACTGTTCGAGCAATTTGTTTGAGTTATTACCCAATGGAGTATCAATTTGGATATGTTTGAAAGTGATGGATACAGGGTTTGGACAGTTCATTTTAATTGGATATGGAGGCATTTTGAACTCATCATATTGATGGCCTCCTCTTGGAATGACCTGGTGGTATGTTCAGATTGTGAAGGACTGAAGGGCATCAGTTATCCTGTGGTCCAATGTGCTGCAATATGCATTTAAGAGTTGCATCCCTTAGATGTACCAGGATCTGCTGATTGTGAGTTCAGTATTCATTTTGTATTCTGAAATATGATTTGTTAAAAAAAATAATAATAATTTGGTCAGGTTTGCTGGACCTACAAGATTCCTGACAACAACAATTGTTCAGAGAGAAAAAACTGAATGTCTTGAAGCAGATTGAAAAAAAATATTTTGTCCAATTTAAAAAACCCAAAAACAGTCCCCACCACCAGGGGTAGAAACTAACAGTTATAGTCCACTAGTCTTTAAAATGATAAAAAAATAGCAAAACCCTTTAAATTGGCAAATTTCTATTAGTCCTTATTATACCTTAACTATTGGACAGATTGACAAGGACTATAGGACTAGTGTCAATTTCTAACGCTGCCACCACCCAGAATATTCAATAAAGTTGTTAGAGGTGGAGTTAGTGTTGGAATTTAACACATGTTCGAGTTTGAGACAAGTAATATTCGGTAAGGACTTAGGGCATTTCCTTGTTGACTACCACTTTTACCATTAGGCAATATTAGGTAGAGAGCAACTCTGTAGATAATTTGCAAGGACTAGTGAAAATAGAAATTATTTTCTAACCCTTGGAGAGGTTATGAAATAAGGCAGGCTTTCTCTTCAATGGCTTGAGGTTTAAGGGTGTCAGAGGATGATGAATATGCATCAGCAATGCCAACAAAGTTCAGGAAAGGTGAATCTGGCAGGAACAACGATGTTATAGAAATGTAATGGCAGGGAAAACTAGTCAGGACGAGTTTCCTTAAGCGATTGTTTCCACAACCTCTTTTGAAAACTCTGTTATGTTGAATATCTATCCTGGGAGTTATCTAGGATTCCAAACTAGGTGCCCTTTGCAGGCATATTGGGGGAAATTATTTTGTGCAAAATTGGATATTTTTCTTTAAAGTACTCATTTTCTTAAATTCAGACGTATTACAACCTTGTATTCAATACAATAATGTCTCTTCCGTTTTGTCAGTGAAATAAGAAGTCCCCTTCTGCAGAGCCATAACATTAGTTATAACTGTATTAACATCATCAACATGTATAGGGAATGTTGACTGACAGCTGCTGCAGACCTGGGGCCAAATATAAGATAAATACTGCTCTGTCAGTAACTTTACTACACTCGTCCAGGATAGGGATTCTGATTGGGGAAGCTAATTTACTATCATGTGGGAAGTACTGAGTGGTTTCACATAGGGCTAGAACATCCTTGTAAAGCTTTCACTTCCTGTCAGAATGTTTTGTGGTCAGTCTTGTTGAAAGGCTGACAATGTGTTAATGAATGTAAATGAAGGAGCAGGTTCAAGAACAGGTGATAATGGATACATTATTATGGGAGAAATTGGAGAGACGTCATGTCACAATGACCCCGCCGACAATTAGAATACAACATGTCATAGATCATCATCACTACTCCACATCACTACACTCCATTGACACAAACCAGATAACTGGTTTCAGTGTTTTAGACTGGTCTGTATGTGTGGTCAATAACACACTCCCAAAATGCTTTTTATGTTGTAATAATTGTAAAGGTGAAAATCTGTTTAGAAATCCTGGGATTTTCTAACCCATTTGTCTCTTCATTGAACTGACAAAGTCGGATGAGCCTGTTGGTGACTGATTTGATACAGCCACCACACCTAAATTCAGGTAGTTTGTGCAGCCAGATTATTGGCTACTTATTAGGCTGCTGTATTTAGGCCTACGTAACACAGTGACCAAAGACCCCCGTGGCTATCAATTATTCCTATTCTAGCCAACATGAGGACTGATTGAGTGCAAATATGCTCACAAGTGCTCATTATCCACGGCTGAATTTGAGAATTTACCTGTTGGTGAAAGTTGGTGATCCACAACTTTACTTGTGGATGTGCTTGGGCAGTGGTGGGTGGTATCATATTTGTAGTTCATCTTTCACCATCAAGTAAGGCTCATTACAACAAGTGTCTTGTTTCTCATGTCCAGACAGTCCCTGAAATTGTACCTGCCCCTAACTTCTTTTGCATTTTTAGTACCTTCACAAAAGAAACAATTCCATTTTAACTCAATTTTTTGTTTTTGAACCAGTTTCAAACTTTCTGCATCAGTATGCCATTCATAGTATGTCAGGTGTGTAAGGTAGCCTAGCTATGCCCTGGGTCACCATGACCTGGGTGCCCATCTCTACCGACTGCTGGATGCAGGGGGCGTGAATAAAATAGGGTAATCGACATCATGTGAAGTATGACTGCATTTGGTGAAACAGTACCTACATCTGCAATGGCAAGACTGTAGTGCCTAAGAATAACTATTAATCATTGCCATCTGCATACATTTCTTGTATGCTGCTCGACTCATGGGGCAGTGAGCACAGTTTTAAGTCAGACAAAAATAAATTAATCATGAACGTTTTCAAATTTAATGAGCTACGAACTTCATTTTCCTGCAATCTGCAACATTCTGTCTGACTAGATTTTGAAAAAGAAATGTATTAAGATATGATTTACACTGCCCTGACCTTCAAGTTCTTGTAATATTTGAGACTGAAATATGTGTGACCTTGACCTCTGTTCATTTGGCAGTGTGTACATACAATCCTGACCTTGATCTTGTTTTGGGTTGGCCACTGACCACCTTAGACCTTACCACCTCTGTAGAGTGAAACCCTGTAGAATTATCATCAGTCGTTTAAAGACTTCCTTTCATTTCTCCGTTCTTGATTGATACCATTATACATAACCGTGTAATTTGCGCTAACAGCGTCTGTTCAGCTGTGATTGGTTTCAAGGAAGAGGACAGGAAACCTTTGGATGTGTGTTTTCAAGGTCAATTGGTAGAGGCTGTCTTTGACAGCATATATGTCATTTCTCTTATCAGCTTGATGGGTTAGCAATTGACCGGAAATGGCTGTTTGGAGACAGTATCGGTCATGGATTATCGAATCTAAGAAGGTTATGGCAAATAATTTCCAGATATTCCCATTTTGCTACTTTAATGATAAAACTCATGCATTATGGTAGAGCAATAATTATGACTTGAAAATATTTCTCTCATGTAGAGTATGGGAGCTGTCTGTAAATTAATACTTATTTTCTCAGAGACTTGTGCAAGACTACTCAACATGGGTAAGGACTTTTATGGGCTAATTTGCTGTAAATGATTGTAATGTGGGAGACAGAGTTTAAGGCCATATGGAGTGTTGGAGGGGTGGTTGGGTAGCCTTGTGGCTAAAGTATTAGCTTGTCACACCAAAGATCTGAGCTCTTTTCCCATCATGGGTACAGTGTGTGAACCCCATTCCTGTCTCCCCTGACATGATATTGCTGGAATATTGCAAACTCACTCTAAGCAGTGTTGTCATGGCTTCAAGATATTCACTTGAGTTATTTTTCACTTTTCTGAATCCCATAGGATGAGTTGAGTTCCTGATGTAACACAGATACCCCAGAGTAGCAGGTAGACTCTCAATAGGCCACGGCAGCCCCCCTGGCTACCTTCAAGTGTCCCAGGGGAAAACCCCTAATGTGGTATGTCAGACAGTGGCAGTCAGCAGGAGCTGGGGACCAGCACTAGATCATGGGGAGGAGCGTTGTCCGGGCTCTTTTGAAACATGCTGTGTCTGTATTGTTATACATACTGATATTTGTTAGAAACAGGACTGGGCCATCTAAGTGTCTACCAGAACAGTGAAGGTGTGGGTGGAGTGTGAAGTGCAGTGTTTGAAAACATGCATGAAGGGTTTTTGTTATGATCCTAATGTTCTAAGTTAAACTTTAAAGGGGTATCTAGATTCAGAGGCCCTCTCCCTTCCCCCCTTCCCAATACTGTCAATTGCTCGTGGGCATGGCTTAGACTTCATTATTTACAGACTACCACAGTGTTGATGAATATTGCTGGCTTGCATTGAACAACAAAACAACAATCACTCACTCGTGCTGGACCAATGCATCCTTGGTTTTTTCTTGAAAAATTCAATGACAATATTCACTTTAACTTTGATAAACATTGCTTTTTTACTTGTTTTGATACATTAAATAAATTTTTTATTGAAACAACCAATTGTGAATTAAAACAAAGGTTAAATTTAGGTACACGTCTTCGTCTGGCAGATGTGTTGTGTTTTCGTGCAACAGACAAAGATAAAATAGTCATGTCCTGAATATCCCTGAATTGAGCGTCTCATTGAATGTCCTTAATGTAGGGACATTGACTGAGACTAGTGTTCATCATCTTGGTTCTGTAGATATGCTTTGGGATGGATCCTGTTTTGTCAGGGCTCCCCAGAACAATACAAGCTCGTAGACGCAGACTGATGAGATGCTGTCACTCCTAAGTGTTTTGGAAGACAATGGAGAAAGTTCAATATCTCCATAATGTCATTTCCAGTGCAGTGTGTTATGCATCTTATCCCAGGGTCAATTTTCTGGGCCGTAAATTGCTCAGACAAGGTAATTGATGGTAACCGATTCTCTATTAACGAGACTTTCAGCAAGGGCTAGGTAGAGATGCAGTGTTAAAGGCTGGCTATTAACAAAGATGATTTACACTGCTCTCATGTCGGCAGGACATTCAACTGGTTACCAAGGATAGACGGACAGGATTTACTGATCTTGTCCAAGGAAATTGTATTCCTGGCCAAGTGATGCATTGCTGAACCCTATC